GGACCCCCGTCCACCATCTATTGTGAGCCAGGAAAGGAACAATGGACCCTTCCACCATGCCCCAGACCTGTGGGAGGGAAGTGGGGCCCTGTATGCCCCCGTGCGAGACCCAGGGGAGGGACACCGGACCGGGGAGAAGGGGGGGCAACAGGTACAAATGGGGGCTGAGGTAGATGGGAGGAGACTAATACTTACACCAGCCAATCCACAGCCAGGATGAGGGAGATGTCGTTGGTTGGAAGCCCCACGGCCTCCAGGATGATCGCCAGGGTCAGCACCCCCCCGGCCGGGATCCCAGCCGCCCCCACGCTGGACGCCGTGGCTGTGACTCTACATAGGACAGAAGACACGGAATTAGCGCGAGTCCCCTCCCCCGGAACGCAGAGGCCGGGTACACGGAACGCAGACACTCACAGGATGGTGATGATGGAGATGAAGTCCAGATGGCGGTTATTAAGCTGCGCGATAAAGACGGCCGCCACGCACTGGAACAAAGCCGCGCCGTCCATGTTCACCGTAGCGCCAATCGGGAGGATGAACCTGCTGATCTGCTTCGACACGCCGTTCTTCTCCTCGACGCATTTCATCATCAGGGGCAGCGTGGCAGAGCTGGAAGAGAGCAATGACCAATCAGAACGCAGGAAAGCATCGCCCCCTCCCTCCTCCACCCGCCGAGCACAGAGAAGGAGGCGGAGCTCCGCAGAACGCGTACAGATGTTAGGAAAAGATTGGACCGGAGAGCCGACTCGCCACCAACCGTCACCGGGACACGTTCGGCGTTCTCCGAGCGCCCTTACCTGGAGGACGTCCCGAACGCCGTGGCCAGAGCGCTGATGATGCCCCACAGGAAGCGGTACGGGTTCTTCCGCGTGACGGCAAAGTAGATGAGCGGCAGGACGATGAGCCCGTGGATGGCGTGTCCCACAATGCAGCAGCAAATGTACTTCCCCAGCTTGGCGAAAAGTCCCATCACGTCTTCCATCTCCACAATCTTCCCGGCCACCAGGAACATGATACCCACCGGGGCGTACCTGAGGGGGGGAGGGGAGACGTCA